AAGCAAAATTATGGGAAACTAAAAATCACATAATCACCACCCAATATACCCATAAAATGAGTTCCATGTAAGAAATGAGGGAATTTTGTTTATCTTTGCCTAAAAACCATCTAGAAATCTTTCAAATGATTGGACATTGTCCTGATTTGGGTATGAATTTTTCCGTTAATTTCCCGAATTTCCACTAAAATTCTACGCTTTTCTACCAATAAAAGTTGTTCTATGGAATCTGAGATTACAAATATGAAAACCGATTACCAATGAGGCTACTTCTAAGTGCCTCAGAAATTCAGAAACCGAATACAGAGGGTTTTGACCTTGACCTTGGGCTATTCAGTGGTACGCCTGGCTCACCATGAAATCTGGCAACCTTTGATAGAACTCCGGATATGGGAAGCATTTCAACAATTCTATCAGTCAGGCTGATGATCCACAGTATGCTGTCCGCTCGGGCTGCTTACGATATTTCTCGGTTCCCAAAATAGGGGTGTACTTGCGGGGTGAGACTGAATTTTAACTTTGATCAGTTGAGCAAAAGTTCCTGGACGGGACGTTGACCAACAAAAATCAACTTGTAGATTTTGGAAATTTCCGAGCCTTAGAATCCACTGAATTTGTTGTTTCTTAATTTGTCTAACTAAAGTAAGCTTAATTTTAAGAAAATACTGATAAAATACAAAAAAAAACCTTAGAAAAAGATCAACATGGAGCATTTTAAATGGCTGCAAACAATTCATTGGATGAGGAACTCTCCACAATTGTGTTCAGTGCTGTTGTTGTTGCTGCTGCTGCTGCTGCTACTACTGGGGACGAAATTGCGAGATTTGATGTCCGTGAAGTCGATACCACGGACGGTGGTGACGATGAAATTCTACCCAATGAATTCTGCAAAAAAAAGCGGTGAAGAATCAAGTCAGACTTTTTTAGACATCAAACGAACAAAACGGATTATCGAATAGTACCCACGCAATGCTAAAAGAACGCAGGAAGAGTAGCGCCTCAAAAATCTCGGCGTTTGCGAAATCAGACCTTCTGGGAACTCCTCAATGACTAATTTCTAGTAATTACGAGCATGGATTGTTATCTTGGAGTTTTAGGAAGAAACCGCAAGTAACCAAAGCTGAAAAACCATAACAGCAGCGGATACATTGTAATAAATCATCAGATTCTTAAGAAAACAAAGAAGAAAAGAAGGAAACAAATACTATCGATTATATAGCTCGCAACTTCTCCATTCTTCCCTCTTTTGAGCTTGTTTTCTCCATAGAATTCTATGCAGGTGCCCTAATTCCCAGTGTGCAGGTGCCCAAATTCAACAATCCGCTTTGTCCACCCGTTGTCCCTTATTTTTGAGACAGGAGAAAATGACAGATATCAAATAAAATACATTACTTCTATACTTCTACAACAATAACGTGTTGATTAAAAGTGTTTGCCGACAACGGCTACCAAGATTTAAAAAGCATTTCCCGCCTTCAACCCTTAAAATTTGGGCCTTCAACCCTCAATAGGCCCAGGCAACTTTCGGTGAAACGCGACCTGATTTACATGCTTGCTTAAGCTCTGCCGTTGAAAAAAAAAAAAATCCTTATGCTATCAATGCCATCAAAAAAAAAAAATCCTTTATGCCATTAGTGCTTTAATGAAAATAGGCAAACCTCAGGACAGCTGAACGAACGAGTTTGCATTACTGGATCAGTGGGGTTCACGTTGTTGTCTGGATCATCTTCTGATGTACTAACGGGGACGAATGTCGGTGATCCGGAACTGAGTGAAGAGCAGCATTCACCAATTTGGTTATTATTGTTCCCGTTACCATCCATGACACTACTGCAACATAAATTTGTGGTCAACGGTCAATGGTCAGTGAACAACAACAACAGAAAATTTTTGCGTATGTGTATATGCTTTCGTGTATATTCTCGCCTAGTTGATAAGATAACAATACCTTATCGCGATCTTCTTTCAAGATAAGATAATCTTGAAATTTCAAAGATACAAACAGTGAATATCCCTGGCTAGGAGACTGGAAAAGGACGGGGGCCTAAAATCTTCTATGTGTTAACATATGCAGTTTGTCTGGCATTGCTAGCCCACCACCGTGGAGAGGAACACAATCGAATTTTGATAATTAATGAAAGCATTGGAAGTGTCATTTAGATCTCCCAAATAAGCAAGCCTGTATGTACAGTGATTTGGTAACTTTTCTGTGTCTCGTCACTGAGCTGTGCCGAACAACTTCCATTGGAAATAATCTTTTCAGAAGAAACGAATGACGGGATCGTCAGTAGGTT